TTGCTGATCTAGTTGTGTTTGTATTTTCTGTTAATGTACTTGTGGTGCTGGATCTCAGATCCTTCTGCCACTTCCTGTGCAGGTCATGAGTCAGGTAATGAAAAGAAGATTCTGGCAGCTTTATGCAAGGTAGACATACTTTATTCCTCAGATATGAGCTTCACAGTCATGCTTTATTCTCAGACATGAGCTCTGGCTCTACTCCACTGACCCTCCATGCTCTGCTGTCCCTCTGTGCTCTGCTGTCCCTCTGTGCTCTGCTGACCAGCAGTTCAGAGCAGTTACCTTTATACTCTTAGTACACAACAGCGGCCACAAGCCAAGTGCATAACGTAACTACAGCAAACATGCTGAATCAGTAAATGGGCACACATGCGCAATTGCGCTACTTTTATAACTTGTTTCTAGTGAATGTGCTGAATCTTGCCCATTTGTAATAGATATAAGGCAAGAGATCCTGACTAAACGTTTTTTACTTTCCTTACAGTTCTTAATCTTGTCAGTGAGTGTACATTAATCTCCTGTTCAAGTCCTGTCTCAGGAACTGCCATGTAAGCTTTGTGTACATTAATCTCCTGTTCAAGTCCTGTCTCAGGAACTGCCATGTAAGCTTTTATAAAATAAACCTAAAATTGAAAACGTGTCTGGCAATATTTGGGGCTATAAAGTCAATATAAAAGATAACTTAGTTTTTTGACTTTTAACATTTTTTTTTTCCATGTCCGGCAACGGATCGCAACCCTCAGTGTCGCCCCCATACCGGATTTTTTAACATTTTTTTTTTCCATGTCCGGCAACGGATCGCAACCCTCAGTGTCGCCCCCGTACCGGACCGGGACCGGCAACGGGATCGCAGCCCTCGGTGTTGCTCCCGCGCCTCGCTCAGCCAGTGAGTGGGAACCGGTCTGTATGTGGGATCCGAACCCTTGGTGGGAGTGCAGCCGTGCTTCCCAAGTGGCGCACTGTAGCAGTGCGCCACCGGGCCGGCCCGACTTTTAACATTTTTTTTGGCACCTTTTACATTAATTACAGAATAAATCTGTTCTTTTTGCTACTCCACTCCCACAATGCTGGCAGTTATGGTGGTTTCACTCTCCAAGCAGGAGATTTTTAAAGCCTTTTCTAGGGAATTGGGCCAGCCCAAAAAGAAAATCCTACATGAATGAATGAATGAATGAATGAATAAATAAATAAATAAAAATACTTATTTGGAGTGTTAGGAAAATAAAATAATTTAACCAGGTCCCCTTGCCTTAGGCACAGTTGGGGGTGGTGCAGCACATTCTTTGTAAATAAGTTGTGTGTGGGTGGGATTAGTGTGCATGTATGGTGCCACAACTTGGCTGGTGTTTTTGACTGCCTTGGGTGGCCCCTATGCAAGCAGCCATGCTCTCGAACCTATGGCTGTTTGCCAGTTACCTAGCTCATAGATCTGCATGTGAGAGGTCTGGTGACCTAGCCTGGTGTGTGAGGGGTCTGGTGACCCAGCCTGGCGTGTGAGGGGTCTGGGGACCCAGCTTGGCATGTGAGAGGTCTGGGGACCCAGTGTGACATGTGAAGGGTTTGTGACCCAGTCTGGACAATGGGCTTGAGGGGTCTGTGAGCTCCAGACCCAGCCCTAGCTTGACAATTGGCCCAGTCGGCAGGATTACAGGCAGGTAAAAGAGCTCAACATGGAGCACCCCCTCACACAAAGACTGCAGATTACCTAGAGTGCAGCTCATGGTTCAAAGCCCCACCAAGCGTTCCCTCAGCCTGTCTTTTTCTCTTGAATGTGAACAAGCAACTTAGGACATTATATGGGAAAGCAACTGGAAAGAAACAGAGTTTGTAGGGAAAATAAAGCTCGTACCTTCAGAGAGGTAATACAGAATATTGCAACCATGATACAGAATAGGATACTGTAGAAAAAAATGATAGAATTTTTTGAGGTAAATTTCACATAACACACACATAGCCATTTCCAAGTGTACAGTTCAGTGGCATTTAGCACATTCACAGTGTCATGCAACTACCACCTCTCTCTAGTTCCAAGACATTTTCATCACCACAATAAGAAACCCCAGAAACTGTCACTCCCCAACCCTCTCTCCCCCAGCCCCTGGCAACCACTAATCTGCTTTCTGTGTCTATGAATTTATCTATTTTGGATGTTTCATACAGAAGGAATCATATAATATGCGATCTTTTTATTTATTTATTTATTTATTTTTATTTTTAATTTTATTTTGTCGATATTCAATGTGGTTGATTATTGTGGCCCATTACCGAAACCTCCCTCCCCCCTCCCACCCAACAATGTCCTTTCTGTTTGCTTGTCGTATCAACTTCAAGGAATTGTAGTTGTTATGTCTTCTTCCCCCCACCCTCCCGGTGTGTGTGTGTGTGAGAGTTTATTTTTAATTTTTAGCTCCCACCAATAAGTGAGAACATGTGGTATTTCTCTTTCTGTGCCTGACTTGTTTCACTTAATATAATTCTCTCTAGGTCCGTCCATGTCATTGCAAATTGCAGTATTTCATTCTTTTTTTATAGCTGAGTAGTATTCCGTTGTGTAGATATATCACATTTTCCATATCCACTCATCCGATGATGGGCATTTGGGCTGGTTCCAACTCTTGGCTATTGTAAAGAGTGCTGTGATGAACATTGGGGAACAGGTATACCTTCGACTTGATGATTTCCATTCCTCTGGGTATATTCCTAGCAGTGGGATAGCTGGGTCATATGGTAGATTCTTCCTCTGAGCTCTAGCAGCCCCAGCTTGGCAGTCATTGCTTTTCAGGAGTTGTAAATTGGTTGATTGTGGGAAAGGGTGATGCTGGGGACCATCTATTCTTCTATCTTGATTCCAGAGGTGGGTCTTAAACCAGGTCTGTTTGCATTCCAGCTCCCCCTCCTGGGGATGCCCAATCCATGCCTACTCCAGGGCCAGAACTGCCCGTGGAGACTTGGTTAGGAAAAGGACACTAACGTCTTTTTCTTTTTTTCTGGTGGCTGGCTGGTAAGTGGATCTGAACTCACGATCTTGGTGTTACCAGCATCACACTCTCCAAGTGCGCTAACCGGCCAGCCCACTAAAGTCTTTCTTAGACAGGCTGTTTCTACCCAATGTTGACGTCCTTTAAGGATAGCAGATCTCGCTTCACACATGAAGGGGTGCTGGGGAGGACTGAAGGTCCCCAGGCTGCTGGAGTAGGATTAGGAGTTGACCTTGGGTAGAGGCCCTTGGCGGAGGCCAGTGGTTGAAGCACGAGGTCCGGGGGCGGGGGGGGGGTGAAGTCCCAGGTGAGATAACAGAGTGAATCTGGACACCCGGCCTCCCTCCTTTTCTCTTTCCTGTCTGTGTGGCCTGAGACTGTGCAGAATTCTGCTCCTTCTGCTCTGTATTTGGCCCAGCACACACCTCCAACTCAGCTGTCTTTCCTTCAATGAATGGAGGGGTGGGAATGAGGTGGTCCCACGTCACTGTGCCTGAAAGTCACCGTCCAGACCCCGGGCTGACCAATTGCTGTCTCTCTCCTGTCATCTGTGAGCCTCCTGCCCACCAGTCTCTTCTCTGGAAAACTTGTTTGATTTCCACCAAATGTTTAAGCTACAAGTCCATTGTTACAATGTCCCTATCCTTCATTTGAAATGATGCACTTGTTTCTGTAGCTAATTTCAGAGGCCTCAGGTGGAAAATGTCATTTTTCACCAGCATGCAAAACACATCAGCTGAGGTGGCTGAAGGAGTCATAAAGAAACTTGGGAACCCATGAATCAGCTCTTCACCACATATTTTGAGTCATTTATTCAAATGTACAACCTTTACTTCACTGCTCCCATGAGAAATGTGAGACATTACCTCAGGCCAACTTCTCAGTACTGTCACTACCAAGAATAAGGAACCTGTGCAGCACTGCTGTGTGGCTCTCCACCAGTAATCTCCCCTGCGTGGTTGCTAACAGAATCCCGGTGTTGTTCATGGGTTGGCAGTAATAAGCCATGAGTCACGATGGGTCTAAGCCAATCAGACAATCCCTCTCCCCTTTGCCAGTGATTGGTCTAAGAGTTGGGCATGTGACTAGTTCTGGCCAATGGCATGTTAGGGGAATGACACTGGGAGGTTTGGATCACCTCCTCCCCTTTCTGCTTTGGACGCTGCTATATGAAAGCATGACACCTCAGCTATGGCAGCCACCCTGCAGCCGTGAGGTGCCAAATATGAGGTGAAAACCACACACTGAAGGTGATGGGGGAAGAGCCTGTGTCCACGACCACATCTCTGAACAGACCAACCAGCCCCAAGAACATCCCTCTCTGGACTTCTGATCGATAACACTAAACATTCCTGTGGTCGTATAACTTCGTATAATGTATGCTATACGAAGTTATTACGGGTAGAGTTCAGAAGCAGATATGGGAGTCATAGGAAGTTTGGATTCAAATCCGAATGCTAAAAGGGAAATAGGATCAGTTACATTTTCTTGCCAAGAAATATGCCTCCCTCTGAGGCCTATTTTTCTTTTCCTTCTAGGTTGTGTTTATGCCCTTTATTTGAACTTTACTTATATAAAAATGTGTCAAGGACTTTTAGGATTTTTAGTCATCACATGACTAAGCACTTTCAAAATCACTAATTTACCTTCTGGAGGCATGGAGATTCTGTTTTAAAAATTACATTCACTAAAGTATGCAAAACTTTTTGGCAATTTAAGCATTATGGGGGAAGAGCCTGTGTCCACGACCACATCTCTGAACAGACCAACCAGCCCCAAGAACATCCCTCTCTGGACTTCTGATCGATAACACTAAACATTCCTGTGGTATAAGCCTCTGTTGCCCATGTTTGCTGGGACTTCCAGCAAAGCATCCTAAAGAATTCAGAGCTACCCAAATGTTTGGGTCAAAGAAATCTTGGGCCCATCCATTCAGATGGAAGGGGACAATGGCTGAGATCTGGTAAGTCAGCCTCCAGGGCAGGCCCAGCTCCCCCTCCATGACTGGGACCACCACTTCACCTCTTTGAGTATTGTTTCCTCTGTCATGAAGTGAGGAAGATGAAACCAATGACCTTTGAGATCTCTCTCCTCTCCAATCTCCTGTTAATCAGAGTCCAGGACAGAAATCCTAAATGCTGCATCAGTCGCAGGAAACCCAACAGAACACAGCCGGCCAGCAGCCAGCATCTGCTCCAGCCTCTGGGTGTGGGCAGCCGGGGAAGTTGAGGCTCCACTCAGCTCAGGCTCTGCTCTCCCTGTCGTCTTGAGTGACGGCTCACATTGTGGGGAAGATGAAAAAATAATAAAGGAGAATTATCACCCACTTAAGAATAAAGGTTGTCCAGGGAGGGAAAGTAAAACTGGTCTTCCCGGGACTCAGGATGGAATCGTGCTGCTAGCCAAGGCCAAGTCTAGTATCTCTGTTCATGTTCTGTTTTCACATATTGCAAAAATGATATGTGCTCATAGTGCAAATTTAAACCCACAGAGATGTGTAAGGTAGTAACAGTGCCCATTCCCAACCTGCCTAATCACTCTTGATATTGCTTGATATTTTTCTGTACTTATACAAACATAACACCATATGTTACAGAATCAAAGATTCTACTGTTAAAATGTGTAAAAGGCATGCAAGCTGGAACTAGTGACATTGAGCATCTGCTTTGGTAAATATACAAATATTTACAAATAAATTTTAGGATTTTAAAAAGAAAAGTAGACTTATTCTATCCACACACTCAAGAAACCTTTGTGTTTTAACTGCATCGTGTGGACATCTTTCTAGGAGCATCTTTGCCCCAAACTTTCTTGTGGGTGCCTTGCCTTCCAGACAATCCACCACGATTTTCTTACCTCTATTCTCTTCATGGAAATTTCTAGCTTATTTCCATTGTGTTGATGTTTCAGACTTTTGCTCTTTCTGAACATCCACGAGCCCTTCTCTGGGGCAAATTTCTGGAAGTGGAAATGCTGTGTCAAAAGGCTTATATATTTAACATTCTTATGCTAACATGTAACATAGTAACATCTCCAGAAAGATACCACTCATTTATCCCTTCAGCAACAGTGTATGAGTCCCCATTTCTGCATAATTTTGCTAAAACAGAATATTATCAATATTTTTTATTAATTCCAATCTGATAGGCCAAATAGATGTATCATTGTTGTTTTATTTTACATTAATTTCTAATGAAGTTAAGCTTCTCTAAATACTTTGCATTTCATTTTTAAAATTGCCTGTTAATCCATTTTTTTTGACTGGATTGTTTGTCTTAACCGTTTTTAGGAGCTCTTTGCATATTATTTATTACACAGTGAGTACTGTACGTTACTTGCTATGTATTACAGATAATTTTCCCAATCTATATTTCCCCCCAGTCTGTTTTTGATGTCATTTGTCATACAGAAGTGTTTTATTTTTATATAGTTAAGCATATCAGTCCATCTCTTCCATTTATGGCTTCTAGGTTTTGTCTCCTATTTGAAGAGTAGGAATCTAATTTACAGTGTCTTCCCCCAGCCGACAGGAAAGTGCCTGGCTGCTGTGGTGCATGGTCCACCCTGTCCCCAGGATCCCAATGCCTCCTTGGTCAGAGACTTAAGTCCCATACATAGCCTGGCGTTTCTGCACTCTGTTCTGATTCACGGGTCTATGTTTTCTCTCTCTTCCTTTGCTGGTCCTATGCTTTGAAAAGCACTGCATCTTTATAGTGTGTTTTGATATCCAGCAGGGTGCATCCTCCTTCATTATTCTTATTCCAAGTTTTCTCAGCTTCGTTCTTCCTGGGGAGCGTAGACTCACTTGTCAAGTTCCAAACAAGCTCTGTCAGGCAGCCCGTGCTGAACAAACACTCAGGTGTTTACGGAGTTTAACAGACACTATTTTCTCTAGATGAAAAAATATGGATATTTTAATGATAGTTTTGAGATTTGGCACTTGAGGTTGAGGTCAGGAAATAACCATAATGCCTGGAGCCTGCTGTTTGGGAGCATTTCAGCTTATGGCTGAGGCCAGAGAGCAGCTAAGTGCCCACGGTGCCCTGCTCCACCTGAAGAAAATCACCACCTTTGGGGATTCAAATGTCTCCGTGGAAGATCTGAGTGTGGCAGATGAGTAAGCAGAAGTTCTTCCTGAGAGGCACTGAGAGCACTGTCTTCAGTCACCACCATCAGATTCCTCCTCACCCAGCAGAGCCTGTGGCAGAGCATGGGGTCAGGAAACACCTGGTCCAATGCTGCAAATTTGTGCCAACTGTGTGGCCACAAGGCCTCAGTTTCCCCAAGCTGATTTCTTGTTTTTAACATCTTAACCATTTTTACTGAGTACATTCACACTGTTGTGCAGCCATTACCAACATCCATCTCAAATAATCTTGCAAAATGGAATCTCTGTCCCATTCCCTTCCCCCAGCCCCTGGCAACCACCATTTTGTTTTCTGTCTTATGGACTTGACCACGCTAGATACCTCATATAAGTGGAAGCACACAGTGTTCGTCCTTTTGCAGGTGGCTTATATCACTTAGTGTAATGTCCTCAAGGTTCACCCTGTTGTAGAATTTCCTTTCTTTGGAAGGGTGGATAGTATCCCATTGCACGGAGATACCGCATCCTGTCTATCCATTCGTCCGTCTTGGGTCGCTTCCACCTTTCGGCTACAGTGACCAACGCTGCTGTGAACGCGTGTCCATCAAGCTGACATCTGAGACAGGACGGAAGAGTTAAACACAGTGCTCTTTAGGCACCTCCACAAAGAAAGGCTCCCCCCAACCAGGCCAGCCCCCCACGAGTTGGGCAGAGAACAGCAGGTTCAATGAGTTTCTTCCTTGGTGATGATATTACAGCCTCGGCTCATCTTGGGGTCCAGTCCATGGCTCCTGGGTTTAGCTGGGGGTCCCATTTGCCCGACTCCTTGAGAAAGTGCTCCTGGCCTTCCTGGTCTAGACCACACCAATGTGATCTCCATATGGCTCAAAACACTCCCTAATATGACCCAAATGTCCACCTCTTCCCGACCCCAAGTTCTGCTAAGCCAGTCATGGCGTCACAGCACATCCCCCGAGACCAGTCATGGCGTCACAGCACATCCCCCGAGGCCAGTCATGGCGTCACAGAACATCCCCCGAGGCCAGTCATGGTGTCACAGAACATCCCCCGTATTCCCAGCCTCTCCTCTGGACGTTCCCTCCGCCCGCGTGGTGACAGGGCCTGGACCGTCCGTTTGCCCCGCGGCCCTCTCACGTGCGGGGTCTTCATGTCCCACGGCCTGCACCGCTCTCTTTGGGGACACCTGCCCTCGGCCGAGCTCGCCCCCTTCCCGCTTCCTACCGGCGGCGGGCCCGCGCTCGGCACACGCTCCTGCCGTCCGTGCCTCCTCCTGCCTCGCAGTCCCAGCCTCTTAGCAGCCCGTCCTGCTCCTGTGTACGCGCACGCCACACTCGCGCGCGCGCGCGCACACGCCACACTCACGCGCACGCACGCACACGCCACACTCACGCGCACGCACACACGCACGCGTATGCACGGACACGCAGATACACACGTGCACGCACACACGCACGCGTATGCACGCACGCACACGCAGATACACACATGCACGCCGACGCCCTTGCACGTGCATACACGCGCACGCACACGTACGCGCACGCACGGCTGGAGCCTTGCCCCGCGCAGGCGCCCTCAGCCCGCACCCGCGCCCTCCCTTGCTCGGGATCGTCCCCCACGAGCTCGCACGTGTGCCGCGTTCCTTCCCCCCTGGAAGATGAAAGCGGAGAACGGGAGGTGTCCCCAGTCCCACGTCCCCTCCGCGCTCTGTCCCTGTTCCCCTCTGCAGTGAAATTCCTCCCTCGCCTCAACGCCCCTCCGGCGGCCTCGGTCCCCACCTGCCCCTGACACGGTCTTGTAAAGTCACCAGCAGCACGTATCTTGCCAANCACACTATCCAGTGCGCCACCGGGCCGGCCCCTAATCATTTCAAGTATCTTTTTTTTTTTTTGTCCTTTATGAGACCGGCCGCACCGCGCTCAGCCAGTGAGTGCTGTGAATGCAGCAGTCATCCCTATATAGGATCCGAACCTGCGGTGGGAGTGCCACTGTGCTCCCAGCGCCGCACTCTCCCGAGTGCGCCACGGGCTCGGCCCAGCAACGAATAATCTAAAAATGAAATTTTAAAAATTACATTTACAATAGTATCAAAAAGAATAAAATTCTTAGGAATAAACTCGTACAAAGAAGTGCAAGACTTGTACAATGAAAACTACAAAAGATCACTAAAAGAAAGTAACGAACAACTGAATTAATGGAAAGACATTCCATGTTCATGGATTGGAAGACTGGATAATTAATAGTAATTGAGACAGCAATAGTACCCCAACTGATGCTGACTTTTTTTCAGAAATTGACAAACTGATCCTAAAATTTACATGGAAATGCAAGGAACCCAGTACAGCCAAAACAATCTCAAAAAAAGAAAACCAACATTGGAGGACTAGCACTTCTCGATTTCAAAACTTACTACAAAGCTACAATAATCAAGAAAATGTGGTGCTGGCATCACAACAGACATGTAGATTGATGTAATAGAAATGAGAATCCAGAAGTAAATCCTTACATTTATGGCCGATTGATATTTGACAAAGTTTCCATGATAATTTAGTGGGGGAAAGAATAGCCTTTTCAACAAACGGTCTTGGGACAACTGGACAGCCATGCAAAAGAATGGTGTTAGACCCCTACCTCACACTATATACTACAATTAACTCAAAATGCTCTTAAAAAACCTAAATATCAGAGCTAAAATTATAAAACTCTAAGAAGAAAACAGGTGAAAATCTTCAGGACCTTGGATTAGGCAGTAATTCGTTATTTATAACACCAAAAACCCAGGAAATCACATAAAAAATAGATAAATTGGGCCTCACCAAAATTAAAAACTTTGGTACATCAAAGGACACTATCAAGGGAATAAATAACACCAAGGTCAAGTGTTTGGATCCCCATACCAACCAACCCCCACTCCCCCCCCAAAAAAGACAACCCACAAAATAGGAGAAAATATTAACAAATCGTATATCTGATGCATTTAGTATCCAGAATATATATTAAGAACTTTTTACAACTCGATAATAAAAAAACAAATAATCTAATTTTTAAAATGTGCAAAGTATTTGAATGGGCATTTCTCCAAAGAAGACTCTTAGCAGCCCATCCTGCTCCCGTGTACGCGCACGCCACACTCACGCGCACGCACGCACACGCCACACACGCGCACGCATGCACACACGCACGTGCACGCACACACGCACGCATATGCACGCACGCACACGCAGATATACACGTGCACATCGACGCACTTGCACGTGCATACACGCGCACGCACACGTACGCGCACGCACGGCTGGAGCCTTGCCCCGCACCCGCGCCCTCCCTTGCTCGGGATCGTCCCCCACGAGCTCGCACGTGTGCCGCGTTCCTTCCACCCTGGAAGATGAAAGCGGAGAACGGGAGGCGTCCCCAGTCCCACGTCCCCTCCGCGCTCTGTCCCTGTTCCCCTCTGCAGTGAAATTCCTCCCTCGCCTCAACGCCCCTCCGTCGGCCTCGGTCCCCACCCGCCCCTGACACGGTCTTGTAAAGTCACCAGCAGCACGTATCTTGCCAAACCCAGTGGCCCGCTCAGGCCTCGTCTTAGCCTTCCGGCAGCGGACGTCGCAGTCGGTCACGTCCTCTCTCCAGAGGCCCGGACGCCTGCATCCCGCTGTCTCCTCATCTGTCCGCGATCTGCCTCCCACGCCCGCTCCTCTCCGGCTCGCTCCCTGCCTCTCTCTCCCTCCCGCAGCCACAGCATCGTCCCTGCTGTCACCCGGCTCAGCTCCGCATCTCCCACCCGCACCGGGCATTATTTTATTGTATTTTAACTCTCTTATCCCCCTACACTCACTTCTCTGCAGCCTTCCAAAGAGATTTTTTTAAAAACGCAAATTAGATCACGCTCAGAGCCCTCCAATCACTTCTGATAAGGCCCCTCCCACCTCTCCCGAGCCACCTGCTGCCCTGCACGTTCTGCTGCTGTCGCTGGCCTGCCCGTGCCCCCTCGTATAACTAGTGCGTCGCTGCTGCAGGACCTTGGACATGCTATCCCCAGCCCATCAACCTTTCCCCAGATTGTCACATAGCTCCCTCTCACACCTTCCAGGTATCTAGCCAAATTTTGTCCCCCACTTCAAGTGGCTATCTCTGACCAGCTACCCTAGAGTATCACACCACACCCCTGCCTCACCNTTTCTCTTCCAACTGATTTAGAAGAATATGGTACAATTATTTGGTATTACATTGTAAATACAAAATGAGTATTTACTAAATTAAGTCAACTGAGAGCTGAACTTTTGGCTTTCCAGATCAACTATTTGTTAAAATGTCAAACTGGATTTGCCTCTAAACCCTGAAAGTTTTGGAATATGACAGATGGGACTTAGACATGTATGGGGCCCATTTTTCTGTCTTTTCCTCCTTTTGCTCACTGGGAC